AATGTATAAAGTCTTCTTGAATTACACGTATGAACATGGATTTTATGAATATAATAATACGAGTATTTACTAAGTAAGGTAATTATTAATACCCAAACTTTGACTAGGACTGCTAATTGGGTCAAGTTGACATGTTGGCCCAATCTATGATCCCTGAACAATCTATAAAAATGGCTGGGTTGGTTATGGACCTATGAACTTAGGCCCAAGATTAAAATGTTGTGTTTGGGCAACTCACAGCACAACTGGATTTAAGCACAGCCCATATCCGTTTTATAACTTTGTATAAGAATGTTTAACATGAAATCAATAGTTATATCTAGGCCTGTCGGATCTGGATTCGACTATGTTCCGGATCCGGATCCGATGGGTCTCGGATCTGGGTTCGGGTCTACCCGAAAAAATTATGAAAATTTACAATTTTTAATAAAAATGAGAAAAAAATATATTTGTACACTAATTTCTAACTAATACAAAAAAAATCAAATAAGAAAATAAATCAAATTGACTTTACTCAAATACATCACCCTAATCAAATTATATTGATAAATATATATATTTTAAATTATTAATCCATTTATATCCAGATTCGAATGTAATACGGGTCGGAATACTATATTCCGTATTCGACCCATTTGTTTGTTTGACAAAATGGATCCAGATCCGGGTCTGGGTAACGGAATTAAATCCCTACCCATACTCGCAATAATTTCACAGATCCGGACCGAGACCCGAACCGTTGACATGCCTAGTTATATCATACCGTTACTTATTCTGTTGAAGTTAGGATTGTTTAAGTAGTTTGTGACAGAAATTAGAGTATTTTCATATTAATTGAATTATTGAATCTGCACAATTTAACCCCCAAGGCCTATGACCTAATAGGGCCAATCTTGGGCCTTACGTGGAAAGCCTAAGTTGGCCTGGAGTCGGGCTCAGCAGAGCCCTATACAAATGACCCAATTAATTGCCCTACATGTTTTTAGCGTCGAATGCTCGATCACGTTTGCTCATGGTGGAGTATGTCCTTGACTCTCATGATTTGCTAGGGTACAGTTAACTGTTTATGACGACGGTTTGCGTTAGAAGGGAAAATTGCACCACTAAATTTTCAAAGCAAGTTCAACAAGTTTCTTAAAGTTAGGGGGGAGAGGTAATTGTTGAAGAAATTATGCAGAAAAAATGTTGTGGCAGTGGGACGCAAATGCAGAGATAGAGTGGAGAATATTGAATTCGTGCATTTGGCAATGCTAGCAAAAATCTTCAGAACCTCAACCAGAATTAGAGAGGTTGTGAGTGAAGAATTGAGAAACAAGTCAACCAGAAATACTATTCTGCCACAAAAAAGCTTCAATGATCCTTAATTGGAATTCAACCTAACCATCCTTAAAATTGAGAAAAAAATACATAATTAATTAATCATATTGTTTCATAATATCTAATTGACAAAGTAAATAGGAAAAAAGATTTACATAAAAAAGTCAAAAAATAGGACAATCAAATAGAAGAAAGTAAACAAGAGATGAACTAAACCAAAAACCAAAAATAAAAAAGGAAAGGAAAAAAAAAAGAATTATTACCAAAATTAGTGCAATGCTAACTTGCTAAGCGATACTTGACTTCAATGGGAGGAATGAAGAAAAGTGAGATAGAAAGTTTGAACTTTAGTTCATCACAAGTTCTCAATGGAAATCTGCAAAAAAAAGAAAAAAAAGAAAAAAAGAAAACACGAACTAGAATGGGACAAAAAAAAGAAAGCAAGCTAGAGAAAGGCCTACTTTTGAGTTACTTCTTTGTGGGACAAGCCACCCACTTTGAAAATTTTATTTTGACTTTTAATCCTCTAAATTTGTCAATTTTACCCCAAAGTCTATTCTTTATAGGGGTCAAGCAAGAACATCACCTATATAGTATATATTGAAAGCGACGTATTTAACAAACTTGACAATGAGTTGATTTTGCAGTGTTTTCAAACGATGAGTGCTCATAAAGGACAATTATAATATGTATATAATATTATAGTTTTGCATCTGTTGTTTATTTTATATTATAGTTTTTATTTTTGTAAAATTTTTATTATATTAAAGTTTGACCCCACATACTCCGAGGTCTTCGCTCCGCCACTGATGTTGGGCCTTCTTGTTCTAAAAATTAAATATGAGGCTTGGAAATAATTGCTAACATTTTAAATTATTTGGGTGCAAACACATCTTTACATTATCCAATTTGATGTTTTAATAGTCCCAACAAGCCTTTTGACCCAAGGTATGATTTCCATTAATAATAGGGTTAATTACATTTACCTCCGCTGAGGTTTGACCATATTACCAATCAATCCCTGTAATTTGTCCAAATAACGGTCTCACCTTTTGAATGATCAAACATTTAACAAAAATCCCCTTAATGCCGAAAATGCCCTTATTGAGGCCATGTTGCATTAAAAAAAGAACATATTTTTATTTTATTAATCCTGAAGCAATCCAAAAAAATAGAAAAAAGTTTTTACTTATTATTTTATAAAAACCATATCTTTGCTTTCATAAATAGTTTTGAATCAATAATTATTTTAAATCTTAAAAATGAATATTAAAAATTAGATAAATTGAAAGAAAAATAAAAAAGAAGCAATTATTTTAAATCCTCAAGTATGGTTCGAATTTGTGGTTCAAAGCATGTTGCGGAGAGCACAAGACATGTTTTCCTCAATTTGAACCATACTCCCGGAATTAAAATAATTTCTTCTTTTTTATTTTTCTTTCAATTTATCTAATTTTTAATATTCAATTTTAAGATTTAAAATAATTATTGATTCAAAACTATTTATGGAAGTAAAGATATGGTTTTATAAAATAATAAGCAAAAACTTTTTTCTATTTTTTTTTGGATTGCTTCAGGGTTAATAAAATAAAAATATGTTCTTTTTTTAATGCAACATGGCATTAATAAGGGCATTTTCGGCATTAAGGGGGTTTTTGTTAAATATTTGATCATTCAAAGGGTGAGACCGTTATTTGGACAAATTACAGAGATTGATTGGTAATATGGTCAAACCTCAGCGGAGGTAAATGTAATTAACCCTTAATAATATATTCTCGATTTACAAAATAGTGGCCTAATTAACTCTTAGTCTGTATAGGCCTTTATTTAATACAAGTCTTGAGAGAATAAACTAATCCATGACATTTGTCCCAATCTTTAAGTTGGAAACCACTTAGAAAAGCCCAACATTAAGTTGACCCATTTGACTAGTCCATCCGACCCATTTGAAAAAATGAGACAGATCTGAGCCAATCAAGGAAAATGGATCTCTTTCTTTCCCTGTTCTAGACTGTCAATTTTCCTCTTGAAACCCTAACTTCTAAGCCTTAAGGGTTTGTTTGATAACAAAAAAAGTGCTGAATCTAAATTTTTTTAGACATTCAAATGTTTTGAGTGTTTGATAAATGAAAATCTATTTGCTGAACTTGTTAAGCAGTGCTGAACCTGTGTGTATTTTTTTCAGCACAAGAATCCTAACTGAATGCTTAATTCTGATAAGAATCAATAGAATTACTTCAACTATCTTATCTTATCTACCAAATCTACCGTTGTTTGTTAATTATGTTTAAAATTCTTATTTAATTAAACAACGTAATATTCTCTATCTAACGATTTTTAGTTTCTCTTTTCTCCCTTTTTAATGACTTTCACATCTTTTTCATACTCCTCATATAATATATTTCATCTTTTATATTAACTTGATTTTTTTTTTATAAACGTAGTTTATTGATCAGATTGAAAAAGGCCCAAAAGGAGCCCTATTCCTGAACAATACGTCTAACCGAAGGAATCCCCCCTCTATCTAGGCGCATGGCTCCTCTAGCTACTCGAGGTAAAGCTGACGAAGAAGTATAAACCTCCTCTATCCCCTGGGCACAACCGACATTCGATAATGCATCCGCAACCTGGTTCGCCTGGCGGAGGCAATGGCTAACTCGTAAGAAATGTCCGCGCAACCCCAGCAACTGCTGAATCTCGTGATACACACCCCAAGGATAACTGGTCTTACCTAGAAGAATTTGGACTAGCCCAAGTGAGTCGAGTTCGACCTCAAACTTGCCAAATCCACGTTGAATGCATAATTGAACCCCAAAAAGAAGCGCGCGAACCTCAGCCTAAGGACTCGTAGCATGCTCAAAGTAACAAGAGAATGCCAGCAGCAAGCTGCCACCATCCCGTAATATTCCGCCACCCCCACTAATGCCAGGATTACCCTTGGAGCACCCATCCGTATTGAGTTTGAGAACACCCGCCGAGGGCCGAGACCACCGCACGAGCGTATAGGATACCCGGGGAGCCAAGCCGGATATCTCTGCATAGAAAAGTGACCAGTCCGCAGAGAAAGGCCTGCGGTGGGGCAGAAACAGGACAAACAGCTCCCGAAGGTCTGACAGGATCAAGTTGCACACCCTGGAAAACCCAATACTAGACCCACCATATCTCCTGTTGTTTCTACATTTCCATAAGTGCCAGCAAATAAGGAGCGGAAGAATGTGATGCACAAAATCGAGCTGCCGATTACCCATCTTCCCATTCCACCAGGCTGCCATGCATACCCGAAAGGATGAACCACACCAAGATATTCCCACTGGATCACCGAAAAAATGCCATACACGCGACGCCATCTCCCCCGTAGCAAAGACGTGCTCAATAGTCTCGACATCCTAAACCGGACAACACACACACTTAGAAGGCCCTTGCACCCCAAACTTGAACAGGCAACAGTCTACCGGTAAGCGACCCCGTAGCAGGCGTAATAAGAAGAAGGAAATCTTCAAAGGCACCAGCGGATGCCAAATTCGTCTAGACATGAATGAGCTGTGGACATGCCGCCTCACCAGGTGATAAGCAGAGGCTAGGTTAAAGTGGCCCGATGGAGATGGTCTCCATATCATCAAGTCTGGAAAATGACCTACAGGAGGCTCAATCCGAACGATCTCACTGATAACCCCGTGCGGAACTCATTGCTGTAGGAGTGACAGGTTCCATTGTCCATCCTCTAAGAAATCGGCAACCAAATGATCCGATACACTATCCAGTCGCGAGGCCAGTGAACCTGTGCCTATCCAGTTATCAAACCAGAAATTCAAACCTCCAGATCGCCCAATCCATCCAATGTGGAGCTCCGCAAGATGACGCACCGTCAGCATCCGTCTCCAGACCAAAGAACCCCCATGATGATTTACTAAATTAGGGTGTACCTGCGCACAGTACTTGGCTTTCATAAAGGATGACCAAAGGGAAGACAAAGAACGGAAGTTCCACCAAAGCTTGATGGAGAAGGCTGTGTGAACATCCTCCAGGCGTCGAAACCCCAGACCACCTTCCTCCCTCGGCACACAAAGATCCTGCCACCTGATCCAATGACACTTAAGGCCCCATTTCGACTCACCCCAAAGGAAATTTGAGAACCACCCTTCAATCTCCCTAAACACGGACTTCGGAGGAGACGCAGCCATCAAGAGATAAACTGGCAAAACAGAAAGGACATGCTTCACCAAAACAATCCGACCCCCTGCAGACAACAACTTATGCTCCCAGGACTCAATCTTTCTTACCACAGCCTGGCATAGCCCCGCAAAATATTCTCTCTTTCGACGGCCATAAAACAAAGGATATCCTAGGTACCTTATGGGAAAGGAACCAGATGTGAAACCCGTAATCCGCTGAATCACCATCCTTCTCGCTCTCCCTAAGGAAGCATGTCCTAAAAAATAACTCTTCGATTTATTCACTCGCTGGCCAGAGGACGCCTCATATTCTTCCAAGACACTCATGACAAGACGCAAGGAGGAGGCATTCGCACTTGAGAAAACTAGCACGTCATCCGCATATCCCAAATGGGTTACAATCGGGCACCCTCTTGGAACTCTGAAACCTTGGAACCCCCGACAGTGCACCAGCTGATTGAAAGAAAAATAAATATTGTCATTTTCATACCTTACAATTTTAAACTAATTAAATCATAGATTCTATTTCTTTTTTGAATGAAAGGATATAGGGGCAAAATTGTCTACTTAAACTTATTATGCATTCAGCTATAAATATTTATCAAACAGTATAAATAAGTTTAGCATTAAAATTCAAACATTCATATATTTTTTTCAGTGCTTAAAATTCAACAAATTAATTGTTTAATATTCAGACTTCAGAATTTAGATTCAGTTTTATCATATGAAACCTAAGTCTATTTCCATTACTATACATCATCATTGTTATCTCAATCATTCGCCGATCATTCAAAAGCGCCAGCAGTTGCGATTGCAAGCAGCCATGCACCACTGCTTGCGGCTGCCGCAACTATTGTTATTTGGCTAGCCCCGGAGTTGGCCATTGCCTAATATGTGAGTTATCAGCCTTGAGGATGGAGGAGAGTCATCCAACTCTCCTTCTCCATCGAAGCGCTCATCTTCATCCTTTTTTTTTCTTAAACTTCACGGAAACCTCCCCAACAAAATCATATTCTTCTGATTATCACCCTAAGTTTAAAATTTTCTTCAATTTTAATCACAAAGCTTCAAAACATAAGAAAATTTAATTGCTTCCTTTAATGGATTCGACCTATAATACTTTCCTATGCCAAACATGAATTTTTCCCTACAATCTCAATGACAACTATATATATATACATGTATATTGCAAAATAAACAAAATAACTCTTAAAATTAACAAAATCGAAAAAAAGATTATTATTGTGTGTTGAGAACTTACTGAGTTAAGTATTTGAGGTTGATTATCCTAGTTGGATGTCTTCTTCTCTGATATTCTCTAGCAATTTGTGTTCTGATAGGAGAGTAAACAATGCAAGAAAGAAAAGTGTCGCTCAACACTTGCTTTGTCTAATAAATAGGGAGTAGGAACAGAACTGCTTCGATAACTACTTATCCCCCCCCCCCCAAAAAAAACCCCAAAAATAAAAATTTTTTATTCCACCTCAAAGAAAAAATCATTATTGGGAAATTAGTGGGGCATTACCTTATCCATTACCAGTTTCCTATTAACCATAATTAATCCCCATTTATTAACTATTTGTTTTTACTTTTACCATTTAGAGATAATAATACTAATTACAGAGTAAAAAATTCGGATATTACATAAATTACTTACTCTTACTGAATGTAAGTTGAACTTGGTTGTTATGTATTACTGTTTGCCTTACTGAATAAGATGCTTACCTAGACAACTGCTATATATTTGTGACTAAATCATTTTTTAATAACGCATAATATCATTGAAAATATTTTGAATTTACCAAATATCGTACAAATGTTGGGGGGCAAATGTTTGTTTGTGATTTTAAGAGCTTGTGATTTGCAAAAGAATATATCTCTTCATGCATTTATTATTAATACCCTTCACAATTAATCAAGAAGGATATGCAAGAAATTGCTAACGTGAGTAATATTGCTATAAATTCAAATTGATTAGATTATACATGTTTTCTATTAGCAATTATTTTTTGGTTAGTTATAATTTACGTGTCCATGTCCACTCCACTAGGCATTCAAAATAAGGGTGGTAATGGATCGTGTCATGTCATTATTGTGGTTGCGTCAAAAAATCTCAACCCTAATTTAACCTACTGGACTTTCATGTCATCATTTACTTATTAATGGGTTGGCACGACCAAATCTGTTTACCCTGTTAAGTAATTCACGTCATAATAATCAATTGAAACTTGAATAAATTTATTTATGGAATTAAATCATTAATCTCAAATTAAAAGTTTTCAATTTTTTTAAACACAATACATATGAAAGATTTCAAAGTAAAACTGGTTTTCGACCAAAACAAAATCTAATAACCATGCAAAATTTTTTTGAGAAAAAAGTAGCAGAAATTTTATTAATGAAATTATTGGGATTCATCCAACAACAACTGCTTTACAAAGGTTGGAAAGAAGTTCCAAAGAGATTCAAAATGGTTGGACATCTTTGCATAATGTGCTAAATTACGTGCAGCCATATTTGACTCTGTAGGTATCCAAGTTACATCCATTGCATTTTGATCTAGTAGAATACAGCGAACATGCTCAATCACCGGGCCTGTGTTTGAGAGAATGTCTTTAGAATTGCAAAACAGTTTAATAATTGAGGATGCATCCCCTTCCAAAATAAAACTTGGAATCACTAAGACCTTTGCTAGTGGGACTGCCTCGCTTGAAGCTAGAGCTTCCACAAATTGAACAGCACTTGGTCCCTTGAGTTTTTTTAGATAAACCAGTAATGAAATGACCACTATAAGTGCCAATGACAACTCCAATGCCAATCACTTGATTAATATTTGACACCAAAGCATCAAAATTGATCTTGAAATGTGGACATGGAGGAATGGACCATATTGTACTTTGCCTTTGAGATGGAGCTGACACCACTTGAGCATTTGCTTCTTGAAAAGCAACAAGTTGGTGCTACACAAACTTGACAATAGACAAAGGTTCTTGTACCAGTCCATTGAAGAGCGCTTCATTTTTTGACACCAAATTTCATAACAGAGTGCCCTAAATAATTCCAAATCCTTAGTCGACAAAGCCCTGAGAATTTACTTTACCCAAAGATCAACACACGATTGATAGCATGCATCATGCTTTCGATCAAGAAAACTAAGAGGCCAAATTTGGACCGATGAAGGACATTCAAAAAGAAGATGTGTCAAATTTCCATATATACCTTTGCATGCATCACAAGTATAATTTGTGGAAATTCCTCATTTCAAAAGGTTGCCAGACGTTGGCAGAGAATTGTAACATATTTGCCAGAGAAGATACTTAAGTGACCAGATTTTCCTCCATACTGGATCTTTGTCTGAGCTTGTGCCAACTTGAGCTTTCTGATTTACTTCCAATAAATCTATTAGAGCATGATACACATTTCTCATTGTGAATTTGCCATTTTTGATGCAGTGCCAAAATCCATCTATCAACCATTCTTGTCCTGAAAAAAGGTTAGCTTTTTCATCAATGCTGCTTCCTCTGCCCAGAAAATGGTAGCAATTAAGTCCATGCTCCAACAGTGAAGATCGTGGTCAATGAATTCAAAAATTAAACATTACTATCTGGCACATATTGTGGATCAGCATGATCAACACCATTACCAGGACTTCTTTCCGTCATTTTCGAACGAGGAGCAAAGAGTATTCCATTGTTGAGCTTCACCCAAGATTTTTAAGGAAGGTGATCCTTAATGGCTGCTAGATTAGACAAATGTTCTTCACAATCTTGATCACCATAGCCAAATCGACAACAGAAATAGCAGATCTTGGGTAACTTTTCATATTGAAGGAAAAATTTAATGCTCTCCTTCACATGGGAGATCAACATCATACATTGTAGTGGGGAACGGATATTAACAGAGACTCAAATGTGCATGTATTTACCCCATAACATAACATCTGTATCTGAATCAACATTCACAAATGAATCAAGATAATTTCCAATCATTCTGGCTGTGTCAGTAGACACCATATCTAGTAAAACATTAAAAACTCTGACCCAGATGGAGCAACGAGAAAATGGGATTTCCCAAGAGGCACATTTCCTTTGTACTTAGAAAGAACAAGTAATTTTATATCAAAAGACCATGGCATTCCTTGCAATACACGAGATTTGTTTGCTGTACGGAAGAAACGGAAGAAAACAATACCCCGAACAACTGTAGTCTCCCACAACTGTATGTGACATGCAATATGTTGAAAAAATAACTTGAACAATGCTAGCAAAATTGCAAACGAGAAAACTTGAGTTGTGCTTCCTAGCACTGTCTTAAGAAACTATTTTAGAAAGTTGAAACGTTTTTCCAAAATTAAACAAGTCTTCTTCTTGTCATAAACAAGAAGGATCTGAACTAGCAAATGTTGTCTAAATCCAACAGAGAGAAATTGTTGGATAAATGGCTACAACAATGTTAACACTATCTGCTTGAGTCGTGCGTAGCACTGTCCTAAGAAACTATTTCATGAAATTGAAATATTTTCCCAGGATTAAACAAGCCTTCTTCTATTTATTGCGAACAAGAAAGACAAGCTTTCTTCTTGTTGCAAACTAGAAGGATCAGAACTAGCAAATTAAAACCAGCAGATATATATATATATATATATATAAAAGAAGATGAGAACAGAATTATCAGGAAACTATCAACTAACAAAAAATAAAAGAGAGAGAGAGAGAGAGAGAGAGCAGCTATCAAAAGATATCAACTGAAGCTGCTGGGATAATTTTCTGAGGAGGGAATGGATCCTATTTATAGATTTTAGAGTGAGGTGCAACCCTTCTCACTTCCGATGTGGGACAAAAGACTGCAACTCTTCTCACTTCTCAATGTGGGACAGAGAAAATAATACTTCTCATTTTTCGATGTGGGACAAAGAATATTTTTGAAATACTCTATATTTTACAATAATCTCCCTCCTATTTCAAAAAAATTCTTTGGATAAAGGAAGAATTTTAAAAATACTCTGCTGGATTTGGTTGAAATGTAATTAGATTGGTGTCTTTTGGACTATGAACCAAACATAGATTGATAAAACATGATCTACAGAATTATTGGTGAAATATAAATTTCTATGAACCAATAACTCTTGATGTATGACAGAGATTTTATCAATCACAGTACAACCCATAATTTGCTGTTAACGCGATTTTGCGCTTTTTGGCCGTGCGCCAGCTTGATTATTCATGAGAGCTCTAAAGATTTGACCAATGAATCTTATAGGAGCGGCCCTACTCCACTCTCATATAGGTGAATTCATTAAGTGTGTATTGCTTTAACTACACCTCCCTAATGGGATATGAATTCATTAAGAGTTTTAACTCATCCTCACAATTACTCAAAGCACTTATCTCTGGAGGGACTTAAATTGAAGTGCTTTACCATCAATATTGACTTGTTATTACCCATATGAACCTACTTCATGGGATCACCAATCACATAGGTTGGGTTTCCGTCTCTATTGACAACTTGTTGGTCGAAGTCCCATTTCTTTTGTAGTTTGAAGAATCAATTTTCTTCCTACGGGTTTAGTCAGAGGATCGGCCAAATTCAACTCTGACTTTACATAATCAATGGATATAATTCCATCTCTAAGCAGCTGCTTTACGACATCATGTCTCAATCTCATGTGTCGACTTTTACAATTATACGATTTATTTTTAGCTATGGCAATCGCTGTTTGACAGTCACAATGTATGGACACAGGAGGCAACAAATCCTTAGTTGAAGGAATATTAGCTAAGAAATTTCTCAACCACTCGGCCTCAGTCCCTGTCAGTTCCAGAGCTACAAACTCTGACTCCATTGTTGATCTAGCAATGATTGTCTGTCTAGCAGATTTCCATGCTATTGCACCACCACCAAGGGTGAACACATAACCACTAGTGGATTTCGTATCATTTGAATCAGAGATCCAATTAGCATCACTGTAACCCTCTAATACAGTGGGAAATCCACTATACAGGATACCAAAATTCATGGTACCTCTCAAATATTTCATTAGTCTGACTAATGCAAACCAATGCTCACGGTTGGGATTATGGGTATATCTACTCAGTCGACATACAGCATAAGCTATATCAGGTCTAGTGAAATTCATCAGATGCATCAGACTCCCAATAATCTGAGCATATTTAGACTGAGTAATTGGGTCACCATTATTTTTCTTTAATTGAGTGTTAGCATCATAAGGAGTACTCATAGGTGTCACATCATAATTTTCAAACTTCCTAAGAAGTCTCTCTGTATAATGTTCTTGTGACAACATTATACCATCACCTTTCCTTATAATTTTAACACCAAATATTATTTTGGCTTCACCCAAATCTTTCATATCAAAATTAGAGGACAAAAAATATTTAGTACTATTTACAATATCTAGACTAGTACCAAATATAAGCATGTCATCCACATATAAACTGATTATCATATATTGATCATTTATAATTTTGAAATATACACATTTATCCACTTCTACAGACGAGAATCCATCTTTTATCAAGACTTGATCAAATTTCTTATGCCACTGTTTAGGAGCTTGTTTTAGACCATAAAGAGATTTAATTAGTTTGCAAACCTTATTTTCTTGTCCAGATACAATACATCCCTCAGGTTGAAACATATAAATTTCTTCTTCTAAATCACCATTTAAAAAGGCTATTTTGACATTCATTTGATGAATAACAAGTTTATGGATAGAAGCTAAAGCAAATAAAATTCGAATAGACGCAATTCTAGTTACTGGTGCAAATGTATCAAAATAATCAATATTTTGTTTTTGAGAAAATCCTTTTGCTACTAAACGAGTTTTGTACTTTTCTATAGAGCCATCAGAGTTATATTTTCTTTTAAAAATTCATTTGCAACCAATAGATTTTGCATCAGGAGGTAAGTCTACTAAAATCCAAGTTTTATTTGACAAGATAGAATCAATTTCAGATTTAATTGCTTCTTTCCAAAATTTACACTCAGGAGAAGAAATAGCATCGGAGTATGTTAAATGATCATTATCAACAAGAAAGGTTTGGAATTCATTTCCAAATGAAAATTCTTTTCTTGGCCTTTTGCTCCTTCTTAATTCCTCAATTGGAATAATTTCCTTATTTATTTTCACAAGTGCATGAGAAATTTTACTAGACAGTGGAAAAATATGTTCAAAAACTTCAGCATTCTTTGTCTCAATAATTGTATTACAATCAAGTATATCACTTCTTAACACAAGAAATCTATATGCAGCACTATGTTCAGCATATCCAATAAACATACAATCAGAAGTTTTAGAACCTATTTTCCTTTTCTTAGGTTCAGGCAACAAGACTTTAGCAAGACACCCCCAAACTTTTAAATATTTCAAATTTGGTTTATAATTTTTCCATAACTCATAAGGTGTTTTGCCAGTCTTTTTATGTGGGATTCTATTTTGTAAGTAACATGCAGATAATATAGCTTCTCCCCATAAATTATCTGGAGCATGAGAACTAATTAACATAGAGTTCATCATTTCTTTTAACGTTCTATTTTTCCTTTCAGCTACTCCATTAGATTCTGGTGAATAAGGTGGAGTTATTTCATGTATTATGTCTTCCTATTCACAAAGGTTATCTAAAGTTAAATATTCTCCACCCCTATCTGATCTAATTTTTTTTATCCTTTTATTAAGTTGATTTGCTACTTCAGATTTATAGGATAAAAAGACATTATAAGTATCATCTTTATTTCTAAGTAAATAAACTTTGGTATATCTGGAATAGTCATCTATAAAGGTGACATAATACCTTTTCCCACCTCTAGTCATTGTTTGTTTTAAATCACCTAAATCAGTATGAATTAAATTTAATAACTCAGTTTCTCTATGGACAATTATACAACTTTTCTTTGTTATTTTAGCTTCTACACATATTTCACATTTGTCCATATTATCATTAATACCAGAAATTAGGCCATATAATTGCATTTTCTTTATATAACCAATATTAACATGTCCTAATCTAGCATGCCATAAAGAAATGGAATCAACAATATAAGCAGAAGAAGATGCATTTTCATTGATCACATTGGAAATATTAAGTACAAAAAGTCCCTGATTACAATAGCCTTTCCCAACAAACACATTATTTCTTGTCATTATAATCTTATCAGATTCGAATGACACTTTCACCCCAACTTTTCCAAGCAAAGCCACAGAAACAAGATTTGCCCGAATATTTGGAACATGCAGCACATCATTAAGAGCCAAAGTATTTCCTAAAGTGAGTTTCAATAGTACTTTGCCCTTACCCAGAACTTTAGCAGTTTGTGAGTCTGCAAGGTAAACTACTTTTTCATCATCCCCTATTGAAGTATAGGAGGAAAACGCTTCTCGATTTGCACATATGTGCTGAGTAACCCCAGAGTCTACCACCCATTCTTTAACATTAGCTGCAATGTTCACTTGAGAGATGACTGCAGCAATTATTTCATCTCCTTCGGTTAAATTAACCTTAGGAGGATTACTATTTGCTTTGTCACCTTTATTGTATCTATACAGGGCAGCATAATGTTCTGATTTTCTACAATAATGGCAATTGCCTTTCTTTTTCTTAAAGTTGGGAATATTAGACTTGTAATTGGGATTTTTTGGTCTATT